TATGCAGCTATCCTCACACAACACGTCTAGGTGTCTCGCAATCTCCAATACAAACAACCTGTGAGGTTCAATATGTGTCTATCCTCATTCAACGCGTCTATGTGTCCGGCACTCCAACATCACTCAACCCGTGGGGTTCCAGCAGCTATCCCCACGCAACCCGTCTATGTGTCTGGCAATCTCAAACCTCCCCTTTCCGTGGGGTTTCAGTATACAGCTATAATCACTCAACACGTCTATGTGTCCGGCAATCTCCTACATCACTCAACCTGTGAGGTTTTCGTAAGCAATCCTCACTCCACGCATCCATGCGTCACGCGTCTTTGGTAGCGCATACTATGGGGGCTATATTTGGGGTGGCGTGTTTTACAGCGCTTTGCCAACAGCGCCAACCCACTGAAGTCTAGATTTTGTGGGGGGGGGGTAAATAGCTGCCTACTATCTTTCTTTTCAGATTAAATCGTCCAGGGAAAATACAGTTCATCCCCCGGTGGTAGGCTATTTTTTTTGTCTCGCGTGCCTGATGTTCTGACATATCTACCTCACATTTACGCGCGCCCAGACCTACCGAAACTCGACCGGTTTTTTCAGAAGGCGGTATTAGTATGGATACCGGAGTTCTTGTTCCCAGAGCTCCAGGCAGTTCCTTGTCCAGGATGTGGGGGCAAGGGCGCACCTGATGGCTGGAACCCTAAGGGGCCACGCCGGGTGTTCATGGAGCACGACGTCGCGTACGTGATGGGGTTTCGGTAAGTTCAGCATGCGAAGAAGAGTGTTCGCTCGATAAACTTCATCAGTCATGTTTTCTTGGCATCCGACGATTTCTGGGTTTCTGGTAGATTGGAGCTCGTGTTGTGGTTTCCGACGATATTGCTCGTGGTGTATGTTTTCTCCTATGCACGTGCAGGTACAAGTGTGCGAAGTGCGCGGAGTTCAATAAAGGCAAGCAGGAGGCGGAAAAGCGCAAGACGAGCTTCAACGCGTGGGATGCTGGGTGCCTCCGGCGTCTCCCGGAGTACATCTCCAAGGAGTTCCCTTTCCTTCTCACCAAGCGATCGGGCATTGAGATTTGCATGGTGGACCGGCTTGCAGATGATTTGGTGCATGGGAAGGGCTTATCCGCTGCTGCCAAGAACATTCGTCAGGTGAATATGCAGTGTCTCATCTGCAGAGTCTTAAGATGACGGGTTGGTCTGGTCTTGGCTTTCCTAGCCTATTCAAAACATTTGCGGATGGTACCGCAAACGTTGCTGCGGGAAATGTCGGATCTCATAAGCGCCGACCCGTGCTACAACGAAAACGTGTCGCCCTCGCAATGCTGTTGCAGGCGCACACGACCAAGTTCATGGTGGACCATCTGAAGTACACCTCTCTGGTCAACACCCGGCGGACCAGCTCGGGCATCTTCCGCTCGGCCAACCTCGCCAAAACTCCGGAGAGGTTCGGCAGCTTTGATGACTTCTTCAACACCCTTGGGCCCGTTCACGGACCGATTGGACGGCTCACGGCTTCGCTGAGGCAACCCGATGATGCCGTCGGATTCGTCTGCTCGCCGCGAATGCCTGCCCCCAACCGTGGTGTCGGCGGCCTACTGACTGCTTCCGCCGCGGTCGCGGACGCCGCGATGGCGGCGATGGCGGCGGCGGCAAGGGAGGAGGGGGCAGGCAGCGGGCATGGCGTGGTTGTAGGGGGCTCCGGGGCAGGAGGTGACCCGGTAGAGAGGTCGCCGATCTTGGCTGGGCCTGGGGCGGGGGCGGCAGGGGCGGCAGGGGCGGCGGGGGCGGCGCGGGCGGCGTTGCCGCAGTTCAGGGTCTGCACCGAATGCGGACACCACAAGGGTGCATACCCTGCTGAACACCCTGGGAATCGCCGTGGACATAAGGCGAAAGGTTCAGCGCCCCAGCCCGACGTTGAACCGGCGAAAAAATGTTTAGTGGACCAGAGCTTGCGGNAAGAGGACATTTCTGCCCTGCCCGTGCGATGTATGCAAGGGCTCATACGCACGCGTGGAGGATGGTGATAGTCAGCCTGTACTGCCGGGTCGAGAAGAGCAGGACACATGTAAAAAAAAGTAAATATTTGCCTACCGGTTCGAAAGGCCGTTCGGTCAGTTACGAGTGCACTAGTTGTACGGCAGTCGCCCAGAATTTCGGATGGTAAAAGAAATTAACAAACGGCCCACGATTGAGACATCAGATACACCACGGCTGCCCAGGCGATGTGTGCGTGTGTGTGTGTTTTCCGGCACCATCTGCCGTCTTTCAACAATAATATTAAGTTGGACGGTATGCTAGACGTGCCTGGGAATGTCGTACAAGAACCCGTTTCGAAATCGGCTCACATGTCAAGGACATATGCCCAAAACAGTGGATCGGGGGGAGTGGAAAAAAACAGCCAAAAAACAGCCCGACCGGGAAAACGCCGCTCCATTTTTTTTCGCGCTTCGCGCGAAAATTTATGTAATACATCCCCGCCTAGCCCTACCTATGGGCCCTGAGCCCAAATAGATTTTTGCCGCCCAGGCCAACGCAACGTTCGTTGTCTACGGGTTGGATAGTGGCGCACCGACCGTTGCAGCGGGGGGTGAGATCGACGGTGTCGTGGTTTAGTACTTGCCTCTAAAAAAAAGTCAAAGGTGTCGGGAGAGGCTCTTGGACACAACGATAGATAACTCGAGAGGCACACACATTTCTTGTGTATTTTTGTTTTGTTTTATTTTGATCGGTTTCCGAGGGCTCTTTGCTCGACCGGTCGGTGGGGTAGCTGTACTTACTTTTTATCATTTTGTTTTCTTTTTCCGAGTGGTTTGTACCTTGTTTTTGTTTTGTTTTCGCGCGGCGTCGAATGTGTCGTTTTTTTTTAGGTCATGGGCTCCCCATTTTTGTGGACTATAGAGCTAATGTGAGAAACAACAAAACAATAACAGCAATACATACACATCGTACAGAACGGGCGTACACAGTACAAAGTAGCGACGACGTCACAAGATCGGGTCAATGTTAATTGATCAATGTTCCTATTTCATCGCCACCGTCGAGCACGTGTATTTTATTATTCCAGAGTTTAGCGCAGGATCCACCGCTGAGCCTTGTTTTCTTTGCCCTACGTTCTGTTTTTTCGCAGACGTTTGGGGCACGATCTGTTGCCGTTCTTCAAAATCGAATACCGTTCCGCCTCCACCCCTCAGCCGTTAGTTGTAGACTATACCTATAAATGTACTGTAGCCGAGCGGCGGTTTCTGGTTACAGCAGTTGTTGTCGTTGTAGCCGATCTCTGCTCGGAACCTTTTGATATTGTTCGTGCACGGGTGGGTCCAACTGACCCGGGAAGAAATACGCCCAAAAACAAATTAGGGAATTGCGAGGGACGCAGAAGGCCAACCGACGTTGGCGGTTGTAGCTTGTTCCCCTCTAAAAAGATGAGTGTGGGGATTACTACATCGCGGGGCAGCTTCCAGGAGGCTGAATGGGGCGGACTAGGTGCACGAGGTGCGTTGTGGCACCCTCCCTCAGTCCACCAAGGGGGCCAACCGTACTCAAGCATTATATTGGCGGGGAACAAACTGCGAAAGGGGGGGTGTCGATCTTGAACACAGCCTTTTAGGGTGCGATTCAACGCGCTATGTTGTACGCATACTTGTCCTCGGGTGTTTTCGCACACCTTCGTTGTTGGGAAAAATCTCCTTTGTTTACCGGACGTGGGTCAAAGATGCTTGCAGTGGCAAGACCATACAGAAAAAACACACCAAATGTAGTCTACCTGCAACTCCACCAACCCGAGCGAGTTTTTACCCACCACGACACCTCTTCCCTATCATCCCCGCTGAACAACAACGTGGTGCAGAAACGCCGTTTCGTTTGGACCTTCAGAACAAAGCCATCATCCGCAACACTTGCAGCTGACACAACATTTTGCCACCAACAAGCACGTGCAGCGCCTACTAGCTCCTCATTCCCACTAGAATTGCCTCCCGCAAAAAAAAAACTGACGCTAAGGGGAGGGGCAATTCTTGTTGAGAAAAGAGTTGTTGAGTGTTCTACGAGATGCTGCCCGGCAAAGGAGACGTGATGGGGCCCTTGGAGGTCATGAAGGTAGCCGGGAGCTTCTCCCCAGTGAACTTCGCCACCTGCTATGTTCGGAGGGCGAAAACGATTAACGCACGTCTGAGCCCACAAACACACAGAGAGAGGCAACTGCAACACAGACAGGAACAGAGTGCTTATGAAGTCGGGCAACAGGACGAGCGCCAGCAACTATTGAGCGAAACTGCCGCCGTCCATGAAACTAAACAAGCAGCACTACCGCACACCTCAACAGCTCAACAACCACCTCAAACCTCAACAACAACACACCCACGCAAACGTTTACATCCGACTACAAAGCTTTGTTCCGCTTGAGGGCCTGGTGTGTCATCAGCCGGTGGAGTTAGTCAACTATCGCGGTCGATGCCAACCACAGAAACACAACACACACAAGCATGTGAGAACGGCATGATGCAGCAGCAATGCTGTCTAAAAGTGTTGGTATATGAAAAGCAGGACCCTGTCGTCCAACTCCTTCGTCCCCCCTGTCGGCAGAACCCTTACCCTCTACCCGTTACAAGACTGACTTGTTGTCATTGGCGAGCCGGTTAGCACGGTAGATGTTAACAAAAAAAGTAAACACACAAAAATACACACACACGACGCCCCCTCTCACGGGGTCCCAGATCGTGGCCTTTAGATCTGATTCTTGTTTCAAACGCACTCAGACTATCGAAGGTCTTTGTATTGGTCAGCCGGTTAGCGCGGTGGATGCCAACAACATAAACACACACACACACACCTTGGTGTCGTCCACAGCGAGAGTCTTGGAGGCTTTCTTCCACGCCTTCCCGGCCCTGTTTCCGGCGTCCACCGGCGATGGCAGGTGCCCCTCGAACGTCACCAGCTCTCCCAGAGGCACGCCCTCCGGGGGGCAGAGGGGCTCCACCTTGCTGTGGTCCTCGTTGCTCGAGCAGAGCAGCATGCCAGCCGACGTCACTCCCTGTTGGGGGGGAAAAAGGTAGCGGAGTAGATTGGTGTGTTTTTCTTTTGTGCTGGGTGTTGGGGTTTGCATTTCGGTTGAAAATTCATGTTGTTCGTTCCACTCAACCAAGAGTGTTGTGATGGACTGGACGCGGCCACGGTCTTGTGTCTACGGTTTCTGTTGTCGGTCAGCCAGTTAAATGGGTAGCTCGGCCGCACTACAAAGGCGGAGAGAGAGCAGAAAATGGGTGCTATCTCCCCCCTGTGAAACCCAGTTGATGCGTGCTGTCGTCCACAACAGACGGGGTGACAAGGCAAAGACTCAACTCCAGCCAGATCCAACCAGTCCTATCCTTCCACCCTACCCCTGAGCTGCTCAAGACTCTCCTCAAAACACCCTCCACCACGTACAACACAAAGGGAAAACCACACTGACCCAACATCCCACAAAAGAACGATGGGCACAAGAACGACACCGACAACCATAACCATCCCCAACAACGGAGACGAAAAAAGCACGACGCCCACCTTCATGTTGACCGGCTTCAGGTTGCACAGCACGACAACTTCTCTCCCCAAGAGGTCCGACTCCTCGCAGAAGTTCACAAGCCCCGAGACGATCGTGCGGGGCCCCTCCTCCTCGCCCTGCCCCAGATCCACCTTCTCAACGTACAGGCTGTCCGCGTCCGGATGCCGGGCGATCTGCGGCCGAGCCACATACACGGGGAAGGACGAGGGAGGGTTGACGCGGGAGGGGGAGATGGGGCGGCGCCGAGCAGGCGGTCTGCATCAACGTCACGACAGCAAATAACACACTCAGTGATAAAAGAGGCATATTTGGAAAGCGGACATGCACGTAGGCGAAGCGACACGATCCCCGCCGCATTTTCTGTACAAAGAAAAACACCTCTTCGGTCATAGTTCCGCAAGAATTCCGACTTCAAAGCGCACGTTCGAAATCGAACCCCACCACCCTTTTAAGTGCTATGTGACCTCACCCGTGGTTTGTCTCCCGAGACAGCGGACAGCATGGGTACAACCCGAGCAAGGTCCCCTTTAGTACAGTACCAGTATGCTTAGTACGGTATCGAAACCCGTACTAATGTCCCAGTACAGTACAGTATGGGAGGGCTGAGTACTGTACTCAGCCCAGTGTAGTATGGAGAGCTGTACTAAACGTAGTGTTGTTTGGAGTACAGTATGGAAAGCTGTACTAAACGTAATATTGCGCTTAGTACAGATCCGAGAGCCGTACCAAACCCCCAGTGCAGTACAGTACGGAGACCTGTACTAAATGTCCTATTTCGCTCAGTACAGTATGGAGAGCGGTGCCAAACGAACTATTGCGCTCAGTACAGTATGGAGACCTGTACCAAACGTACTTGTTGTGAGTACAGTTGTTGTTGTTGCTCACATTAGCTCTATTGTCCACAAAAAATGGGGAGCCCGTGGTCTCAAAACCCGGCACATACGACGCCGCGGGGAAACAAAACAAAAATAGCGTACAAACCACTCGGACAAAGAAAACAAAATGATAGAAAGAAAATAACAGGCACCGCACCGACCGTTCGAGAAATGAGCCCTCGGAAACCGATCAAAATAAAATAGAAACAAAAATTAAGGAGGACGCTTCCCACACCCGCCTAGAGAAAAAATCAAAGGGTAACGTACCAGCATCAGGAACTACGCACCAGGGCATGGGAGTAACCGAGCAAACAGGACAAAGAGGCGGCAGATGGGCAGACAGCCAGATGTACAAAAAACAAAACATCAGCAAAAGCGAGATCAAGGTACCCAACACAGCAGAGTAGGCAGGGAGGGGAGGTGTACTCATAGTCGTGCATGCCGTAGTCGTTAGACCATTGACCTCGCATCCCTACAAAGCCGGGACGGAGCACGCCGGGTTCTCACCGGACCAGGCTCTCACA